ACATCCAATGGAGAGTTTCCTCAGCCTGAGAGGAATGGGATTTTTTTTTTTTGGGGGGGGGGGTGAAGGGGGGGATGGACACAGACTACACAAGACTACCTGAAAGGTTATTGGTTTGATTTAGATGGAAGGCTGAACTACCTCAAGCATAAACTTAGGATGTGTATTAAGGAACACCTTGTCCTTATCAAAGGCTCTAAAAGGAAGGTCAGCAAGAAGAGCTTTAAGTTCTGAAACCCTCCTCATGGAAGTGATTGCCACTAAAAATGTGATCTTCAGAGACAACACAGATAGTGAAGTTGTCACCACAGGCTCAAAGGGGGACCCATGAATCTAGAGAACTAAATTTAAATCTCATACAGACACCAGAGCAGACACAGGAAGGTAAGTATTAACTAGGCCTTTTGAAAATCTCAAAACAAGAGGATGAGAGAAGATGGAAAATCCATGTACCATGTATCATGGAAAATCCATGATATGCTGAAACAGAACCCAGGTGAACTCTCAAAACTCTCAGAGGCCTATGGATTTGAAATGTAGGACAGGTTTCAGAGTGGTAGCCGTGTTAGTCTGTATCAGCAAAAACAACGAGGAGTCCTTGTGGCCCTTTATAGACTAACAAATTTATTTGGGCATAAGCTTTCGTGGGGTAAAACCCATTTCATCAGATGTATGGCGCGGAACATACAGTAGGGAGGTATAAATACACAGCATATGAAAAAAAATCGGAGTTGCCTTACCAAGTGGGGGGTCAGTGCTAACAAGCCAATTCAATTCAAGTTGGAAGTAGGCAACTCTCAGTTGACAAGGAGTGGAAATCACTTTTCTAGTGTTGAGGCGGCCAAAAGTAAACAAGGTAGCCCATTGCAAACAGTTGACAAGAAGGTCTGAGTATTTAGCAAGGAGAAATTAGTTTTTGTAAAAACAACTAGGAGTTCTTGTGGCACCTTAGAGACTAACAAATAGATTTACTTTCTGTCATGACCCATCCACTCCCAGTCTCTATTCACGCCTAATTTGATGGTGTCCAGTTTGCAAATTAACTCCAGTTCTGCAGTTTTTCGTTAGATCTGTTTTTGAAAGTTTTTTTGTTGAAGAACTGCCACTTTTAAATCTGTTATTGAGTGACATGGGAGATTGACATCACAAATTATAACATTCAAAAACCAGTAGGAGTTCAGATGTGTGTCCTTTTATTCTTTTGCGTAGAGATTGCCCGGTTTGGCCAATGTACATGGCAGAGGGGCATTGCTGGCATATATCACATTGGTAGATGTGCAGGTGAACGAGCCCCTGATGGTGTGGCTGATGTGGTTAGGTCCTATGATGGTGTCCCTTGAATAGATCTGCGGACTTAGCTGGCACTGGGGTTTGTTGCAGGGTTAGGTTCCTGGGTTAGTGTTTTTGTTGTGTGGGAGCTGGTGAGTATTTGCTTTCGGTTGGGGGGCTGCCTGTAAGCGAGGACTGGCCTGTCTCCCAAGATCTGTGAGAGTGAGGGATCGTCCTTCAGGATAGGGTGTAGATCCTTGATGATGCGCTGGAGAGGTTTTAGTTGGGGGCTGTAGGTGACGGCTAGTGGCATTCTGTTACTTTCTTTGTTGGGCCTGTCTTGGAGTAGGTGACTTCTGGCTACCCTTCTGGCTCCGTCAATCTGTTTCTTCACTTCACCAGGTGAATACTGTAGTTTTAAGAATGCTTGATATAGATCCTGTACGTGTTTGTCTCTGTCTGAGGGATTGGAACAAATGTGGTTGTATCTTAGAGCTTGGCTGTAGACAGTGGATCAAAGCTGGACTGTGATGTGGTGATAATTTGTGGGGCTGTGCCCCAAGGGAAAAATCTCTTCCACTTTGATTTGTGTGTGGCTCTAGCAGACTCCTTTCTGCTACTCACCAAGATGGTCTGGACCTATCGGGATCACAGTTTCTCATGAGTGTTCATCCAGAGATCATCCATGCAGTAAGGTGCATGCAGAGATTCACCCTAGTTCTGTGACAAAAGATCTGCCACTAGAGGTGAAGTTCTCAGTGTACGGATAGAGAGGCAATGTAGATCTGTGAACCAACATTGTCTTGGCCATGCTGGTAAAATGAGGATCAACAATACTTTGTCCTATTTCAGCTTCCTGAGAATTCTGGGAATGATAGGGAACTGGAGGGAATGCATATAGGAGCAGACTGGACCAGGGAAGAAGAAATGCATCTATGATGGAACCAAGGCCTAGGAGCTGCAGGCAGGTTTATGCACTCTTATAGGGCTGGATCTGAGGCCATTGGAAAGGGCTGCTATAGTTCTATACCTTTCTACTGGGAGAGAAGCCATGACTATTGAGGTATGCCCCTGTTAAAGATATACATTGAGTGGGTTGCACTTGAGACCTCTCCAAATTTAGTTTCAGGCATAGACAAAAGATGACTCAATGACAGGCAACTGATGACTATGACATTGGATCTGGTCTCTTGATGCTGCCCACATCAGCCAATTGTCCAAGTAAATGAAAGTTTGAATGCCTAAATGACAGAGGCGCTGCTAACACGGACATACACATGGTGAAGACCCTTAAAGCTTATGACAAACTGAAACTGTACTGGTAGTAGTTGGTGCCTACCACAAATCGAAGGCAATTAATGTGGGAGGGATGTATCACAATGTGGAAGTATACATCTTGTAAAATTGAGGACAGCTACCAATCTCCAGGGAAGAAGCAAGGGTGCCCATCTTAAACTTGATCTTTTTGATGAATCTATTCAGCTTTCTTAAGTCTAAAATACGATGGAAGCCCCCAGATTTCTTCTAAATCAGAAGGTATCGGGAATAGAAGCCTTTCCCTTCATGTTGGTAAGGAACTTCTGCTATTGCTCCCAATTCCAGAAAAGACCATAGCACTTGAAGTAACAGTCTCATGAGACGGGCCCTGAAGACAGATGAGGAATATGGGTTGCTAAAAGGAACTGGATAATATATCCCTCCTTAACCATGCTGAGTACCCACTTGTCTGATGTGAATTTTTTTTTTTTTTTTTTTTTTTTTACTGTGCTTGGGAAAAAAAGGGATAGACATGACTCAAAAGGAGATATTATTGATATACTGTCTTCAACCAAAATGTCCAAATCACTGTTTTGAAGATGTCTGATGAGAAGGGCCCACTACATTAAAGACAGCTGGTGACGTCTAGGAGATCTTGGTCTCCTCTTAGGGGAATATTGAGGTCTGTGTTGGAGAGAGGGTCTAGAGCAGCAGTTCTCAAACAGTGGGTCGGGACCCCAAAGTGGGTCACAACCCCGTTTTAATAGGGTTGCCAAGGGTGGCATTAGACTTGCTGAGGCCTGGGGCTGAATCCCAAGCCCCACTGCCCAGGGCCAGGGCCAAAGCCCAAGGGCTTCAGCCCTGAGTGACGGGGCTCAAGATACAGCCCCTACCCCGGGTTGTCAGGGCTTAAGCCCTTGGGTTTCAGCTTTGACACATACAGCTCAGGTTTTGGGCCCTCCACGTGGGGGCTCAGGCAGGTTCAAGTCTCAGTCCCTTCTCTTGTTTCTCTCTCTTGTGCCCACCTGACCAGGATAACAGCCCTGCATGTGGCATATTGTTTAGAACCAGGGATTTCTTCATAGTAAATCTTCTAGGTAGTAATAAAAGTATATATAAACTATACTATTCTATACTATATACACACTTATAGTATAACTATAACAACTTTGTAGAGACTGTTTTCTAAACTGTTTGACCAAAGCTAAGGCTAAGTGGAGCTCCAGCTCTTGCCACAAGCAGTGCAAAGAAAGTATGAGGGAGGTGGTGGACATGCCCCTTTTATGCCCTTGCCTGAGAGCACGAGAAAAGCAGGGGCACATGCACTAACTAGTGGTACTACTGGCAAAAGTCTCCAACTCAAGTGCACACACACACCCCCTACAATGGAATGCATATGTGCACAATCACTTGGAGAACTAGGGAATCAGTTGCAACAGAACCAGAAGCTTGTACTGCCACCTCAGCACTCTCACTTAGTGATTATTTTCCTCCTCCAAAGGAAAGGAAGAAGGGGTTCTAGATACCTCCTCTTGCCCTTGTTTCAGGGCCACAGAGAGGATTACGACCTGTGGGGTAATGCTTACTAGAGCTATCTTCTGCAGTCACAACCATGCCATGCTTCTTCTAAGCTTAAACTAGAGTGGGAAGTATATTGATACCTTGTACCAACAGACCTTCTGATCCTTGCTGGTCAACTCTGCCTTGATTCCTTTGCCTTGATTCCTGCAATCTTAAGATTATGGCTACCTCCACTACCTCTTAGCCCCTAGATGGGTCACGAGACAAACATGGGTCCATCATAGAAACTGAGGTACTGGAAGCCTCAGAACTGTAAGACTTGATTGCCAAAATCTCTTGCAGTAGGAGAGCCAGTAGGCAGTTCTGCCTTTTTTCTTGTCCTCAGGCTCAAGATCTTGCAGACTGATACGAGGAGGGACAGTATCACTCCCCAAAGACAGGAGAAGCAGCATGAGCACATGCATTTGAGGCTAGAAAAAATGAATGGTCAGGAAGCATCCCTATTTAAAATTACATCTTTTAAGCATGTATGCTGCTCATACTCCACCTAAAGTTAAAAGAGCTTGAAATAATCCCACTCACAGCACCCAACTGTATTGTCAACAGATGAGAGGGTTAGGTCTTCAGATGAAGGCTATGCAGCAGGAACAGATAAATCACAGACAAGAATTCACCTATGCCAATGTCTCAAAACACACAAAGAGAAGCAATACAGAAGCTATTATAACTTTTGCTTATTATAAGCAGAATGTGCCTTGAACACATTGCTTCGTAGCTTGTCATGAGGTCTGGGTATCAAGTAGAGAGGGAGAGATGTGGTAAAAGTAAAGATCTGGGAGGAGCACAAGAAAGTAACAGTATATAGGACTATAAATTAAACTACAGGATTATGTTTTTCCTTTCACCTGCCCGCAACACCCAAAACCAATAACATTTTCACCCTTTATACTCACCGTTGGTACATATTCCGATGGGAATTTGTTTGTTGTGTAAGAAATTAAGAGACATGTTTTACCAACAGCACCATCACCCACGACCACACATTTAATTGTCTGCATAGCTGAAGTCCGTTAGTATATCAAATCCAATATGAATCTAAGGGAACAAAAGAAAATATTTAGATTTTTTGCTTACTTTCTCACAGAAAAGCACAAAGTGTTAATCCAGTTTCATCGAGCAGTCTCAACTACAGAATGAGCATCTTTGAGCACTGGAGCCCTCTGGCCAAGGTAGCCACACTCTCAATTTCACACAAGCTTCGAACAGGTTATAGAAACTGGTTAATACACTAGGCATTTTTTAGCCTTAGTTCAGTGGATATTTTCTGTTCAGCACACCTATTGGTCAATTTACAGTATCAGCTGGCATCTTGCCTCCAACTGGTGACAAACAGCATGAAGAAAAAAAAGAGTCCAGAAACCAACTTTTTGGGAAGGGTGTCCACAAGTCCATATCACTGAAGAATACAGGGTTGGGCCACAACAAAACTAAACTTAGGCTTTGTCTACACCAGTGGTTCCCAACCAGAGGTCTGGGGCCCGCAGGGAGTCTACAAGCAGATTTCAGGGGGTCTGTCAAAATAATCCAGAGAGCTGGGCCAGTATCAGACTCACTGGGGCCCAGGGCAGAAAGCTGAAGCCCGAGCCCCACTGCCTGGGGCTGAAGTCTGAGCAACTTACCTTCATAGTGCCCCCTGCAGCATAGGTCCCCAAACAGTTGCCCCGCTTGCCACCACCTACTGCCGACCCTGGCTTTTAACCTACTGGATATGCAGAAACAGCTGTTGTGGCACAGGTGGGCAGTGAAATTTTTATAGCATGTTGGACAGGACCTCAGAAAGAAAAAGGTTGAGAACTGCTGGTCTACACCACCACTTTTGTTGGTAAAACTTGTCAGCCAGAGGTATGAAAACACCCCCAGCCCCCTCCTGCCCACTGACCGACCGACATAAGTTTCACCAGCAGAAGTGCTGGTGTGGACAGCACTATGTCGGCGGGAGAGTTTCAGCAAGCAGTACAACTGTGCCACTGTAAAGTCTGTAGTGTAGACAGCCTTAATTTGGTTGTCAATGTTACCTTCTGTTTAGACAGTTTCAATAATTATTTCAATTCAATCCAAGTATTTTAATGCAATCTGCATTTTTATAACAAATTATTCTCCATCCATGTGACAGGAGTGAAGAATTACCAGTTTTTCTTCAAATGCTTATTTGTCTTCAGAACAGATCTGGAAATTGTTAGACCAAACATTTTCAGTGGTTGGTAAAAAGGTTTGAAACAGAATTCTCACTGCAACCTTATCTTTTGAACCATGGGTGCATAACAATTAAGCCAATTTTAGGAAATGGTAGCAAAGAAACTTTTTCAGAACAAGATATAATGCACCATCTGGCATTTCACTCCTTCAACACTGTCATTTATACCATTCTTTTCATACTCATTAAGCCCTTTACTACGGGGAAGACTTATGTAGACAATGACATTAATCCTCTACTCTGTGTCATACTTTGGCTAGCACCAGAAAAAACAGGAATCTGCTAACCTATGTAGACGCATACGTATGCTACAAAAATTCCAACATCTAATCTGATGCCACATCTTAGGGAACACACAACATTCATGTGCCTAATACTTAGTTTCAATAATCTGGCCCCTCAGGAGAGTGCAGGGCTAGTGTATTTTCAAAAGACAAGTCCTTGTTCAAAAGGATTATTGGTAGATTTAGTCCTTTCATTCAGGTCCATTTGACTACATATTTGAGGTTAAGACCAGTGACCAGAGAAATATTTAATGACCTACACAATCTCACTTAATATTTTCCCTACATTCTATGGCACTTGCATACAAAGGCAGAGTAGCTTTTAGTTATAGTATGTTCTGAGGTACAAGAACAATATTTCAGAGAAAAAAAAAACATGAGCGAAAAGCAGACAACACTGAGACCAACTCAGTCCTGATTTAAGAAACAGGATTCTTATTAAAAAAATAAAGGGGTGGGGATGTTTTAGAGCAGCGATACTCGGACCTCAGTGGTTCAGAAGCCAAATTAGCAATCAGCATTACCTAAAAGAGCTACAGTAGTGTGAATTCATGGTTTCGTTTACTGTATTATATATTTTTAATGTATAAAATTCTCACAGCCAATAAATTAGTGTAAGTTGATAATTTAATTGGTTAACAACATAGTAAGAGCAACCTGATTGGTTAAAAATTAAATCACACTATGTTTTAATATCAGGTCTCCTACAGCTCTTTGCAGCAGCCACTTGCAGCTCATGAAGCCTCAGAGTATCACTGTTTTAGAGCAACAGATCCATAAAAACAGAGGCTAGACTACACTACTTTTAAAATGATTTATGGTGAATCATTCATGCTAGGATGCAGAACTGCATAAGGATTCAGATGCAATCCCCATCAGTGGCAAGAGCAACACCATTGCAGCTGCTGGCAATACACCTCTACCCCGATATAACGCAGTCCTCGGGAGCCAAAAAAATCTTACCACGTTACAGGTGAAATTGCATTGTATCAAACTTGCTTTGGCCTCGAGCATTTCTGTTATTAATAGTCACTTCCTGCCCACTGACCCCTCAGAACCCCCAACCCATCCAACCCCCCCGCTCCTTGTCCCCTGACTACCCCCTCCATCCCTAATCACCCCCACGACCCCACCCAACCCCCCTACTCCCTGTCCCCTGACTGCCCCGCCCCCATCCACAACCCCCACCCCAACAGGCCCCCTGGGACTCCCATGCCCTATCCAACACCCCCATTCCCTATCCCCTGACCGCCCCGCCCCCAGAACCTCCGAACCATCCAACTCCCCCTGCTCCCTGTCCCCTGACCACCACCCCTCCCCGAGACCCTCTGCCCCTTATCCAACCCCTCGGCCCGGCACCCTTAACACGCCACTCAGAGCAGCGTGTCAGAGCCAGACACGCTGATGCACTGATCCGCCAGAGCGCGCAGCCCCGCTGCTTTACCGCGTTATATCCGAATTTGTGTTATATAGGGTCACGTTATATTGGGGTAGAGGTGTACTAGAATATACCTGATGCAAGAAATAGCTACATATTCATGTGCTTAGCTGTGGAAGAAATAAGGCAAAGGAAAGAAGTTGAAGGTCAGAGAAGATAAGGGGCAAGAGAAAGTTGGTTAAGAAGTGAATTGAGCATAGACTAAGCTTCAGTGAGAATTTACTGGCTCATTTTATAAAATTTCTACATGAAAATGGAAGGAGTACAGAACTCCAACTAAGTTACCCAGAGTATTCAAAAGTGACACCAGACCACAAGCTCAAATACTAAGTGTGAACCAACTTAAAACAGATCTAAAATTATGAATATGCCACACTAACTCTCCAATGGGATACATTCCGGAAGATAGGCTGATCTGTATTTTCTTGTTGGATTTGCTCTGCAGTAGGCTCTCTCAAGCTGTGTGGCCAGGCTGCATTGGTAGGGAGTGGATAGTATCTGGGCGAGGCTTGGAACGCTCTTCCTGTTTTCAAGAGGGTAAGTTAAAAATGTAAGAAAATGCAAGTTGCTGCATGGGCTTCTCAGTTTTTTGTATGCTTGTACCAGCTTTAGTTACAATCTGTCAGTCACCCACCCTTCAGCGCTTCCTCTGCAATAACTCTTCTTGGCCATCCTTGGGAGCCACTACAATACCAGCACTGAGAACAAGGTAACTCTTCTCCACTCTAAGTGCTCCACTTATTGGTGACTACAGACAACCCACAATCATCAGAAGGAAACTGTAGCAGATAGCAGCTCCCAGGCCTTAATCTCCTTTATCTCCCATTCTGTTGTTCTCCCTTTGGAGCCCTACCCTCGAATTCCATTGAAGGCTAATCCCAGTTTTAAGTTTGGATAGGTTTTTCCACAACTAGAAATGATAAACACACACAATGACACTTTAACGAAATGGATGAGCTTCTGATTGTTTAATTATAAAAACTTTATAACTTCGGCCAATGTGAACATGGGGCCTGAACTAACCTCCTTTGACAGGAGAGCGAGGTGTAATAGTAAAGAGTTTCAGAATCACTTGTTCTGAAAAGATAACAAGTGCAATAATTAAATACAACAGGGAACATAAACAAAGATACATTAAAAAAGGAAATTCCTTCGTGGAATTTAAAACTGTAACGGAATCTTTCCAAAGTTACTTACATGCCAAATAATCCCTTTTCAACAACATGTATAAAATACTCCCAAATACAGTGGTGTCCTTTTAAAGACCCATTCAGAGGTCTTTTTTTTTTGCGGGGGGGGGGGGGTCAGGTTTAAGGATTTATCCATGCTGGTTATTGTCCAAAAAATCTTGGGCCAAGATGTTTTTTTAAATCATATATAAATTTTTGCTTTTAAGGCCATATTTAGGCACCTAAATAAATGGCCTGATTTCCAAATATAGATTTAGGCTCTTAAGTTTAGACCTCCATTTCTGAAAGTCTTACCTGACACCTTGTGTAAGCCTAATAAAGGAAAATTAAACAATATCTACAGGGAAAAAAAAAAAAGCACACACACACACTAAGAGTAGCAGCCGTGTTAGTCTGTAGTCGCAAAAAGAAAAGGCGTACTTGTGGCACCTTAGAGACTAACCAATTTATTTGAGCATAAGCTTTCGTGAGCTACAGCTCACTTCATCGGATGCATTCAGTGTAGCTCACAAAAGCTTATGCTCAAATAAATTGGTTAGTTAGTCTCTTAGGTGCCACAAGTACTCCTTTTCTTTTTACACATTAAGAGAAAAAATAATCTAGTCCAACACAGAATATGAGCAAATTCCTCACACCCGATAAAAAGTGCACTGTCTGCTGAGAAAAGCAGGGAAATACTTGTTCACACTTATAGGTAGTAAGTACTTCAAGGCAGGAACAGTGTCCATGTGTGTACATCTAGTAGGATGGGGTCCCTGGGTGTTATTAACTATAATTAAGATGAAATTTATATAACATTTCCTTCCTGTGTTTGCCTTCTCTCCATGTTTTCTGCCCAGTCCATCTCTCTATTCCTTTTTTACTTAAGGATCATTTCTATCTGCTCTATGAAGTACATAGCACATTAATAAAGTCTGTCCCCTTAGCTC